CAGGACGGATGACCGAACAGTGGGCCCCTGGCCACTGAGGCACGCAGGCAGGCAGGGTCTGTGGGCTCTGGTGTGTGGCAGGTGGGAGAGATCTGTGGGCCTTGTGCCGCTGAGGCATGCAGGCGGGCAGGGTCTGTGGGCTCTGGGCATCTGAGGAGCAGCTGTGGCAGCGGCCAGAAGGGTCTTTAACCCTGGGCTGCAGAGGCATGCAGGCGGGAAGGGTCTGTGGGCTTTGGGCCTCTGGGGTCTGGCAGGCGGGAGAGATCTGTGGGCCCTGGGCCACCGAGGCATGCAGGCGGGAAGGGTCGGTGAGCCCTGGGCATCTGAGGTGTGGTGGCGGGAGAGATCTGTGGGCTCTGGGCCGCTGGGGCATGGCCGCGACAAGAATGCTCTGCCTCCAAGGTGCAGTGGTGGCAAGCAGGGTCTTTAACCCCGGGCCATCGAGGCATGGAAGCGAGAAGGGTCTGTGGGCCCCAGGCTACCAGGGTGCTGTGGAACTCTGGGTCTCGTGCTTTTGGGGGTGTGGCCGGCCTTCAAACTGGAACGTGTCAAGAGGGGAGGAGGGAGCCCCATTCCTCACAGAATCCATTATTGGGAGGAGGGAGCCTGCCTGCCTGATCGTCCCTAACCACTCTGCCTGCCTGCCTGCCTTCCAGAGGGTTCCCGGATTGTGAGAGGGTGCAGGCCAGGCTGAGGGAACCCCCTACCCGTGCACGAATTTTGTGTACTGGGCCTCTAGTATTATAATAACTATATATGGTGCTAGATTTATTGGCATAATTACTTAGTATGTTATATAAAGGTATAATCATGGGGTTGTACACCTGAAACTAATATTGTATATCAACTGTAATTAAAAAACAACAACAACCCATTCATGGCTCTTGTAGTCTATAGATGTAAACATTGGGAATCATTCTGTGAAAGTTGCAGTTCTCGGGTTTCTTAATAAGAATGCCTAAATAAATTAATCTGCTTCACCTTTATACTATTAGTAAAACAATTAAGTTCCAAATTCAGACATACATAACGTTTACTGGAAACCACCCACCATTTTTTTTTTTTTTTGTCTTAACAGCAAGCAACTTTCTAATGAGTATGAAAGTATGAAATGAGTGGGAGCCTTGAGGTCAGAGTGGGTTAAAATCTGAGCCTGGCCAGATATTAAGTAGGTTACATCTAATAAATGATTTAACTCTTTGGAACCTTGACTCTTCCACCTTCAGAGGAGAATAGGAGAGGTAGCCTTTGGGTTGTTATGAAGAGAGACAAAACAGCATAATGGTTAAGAACACAAGCCCCGAAAACAGACTGTTTTGAGTTTGAATTCTGCCTGTGCCATTGGTTAGCTGTGTGACGTTGGCCAAGTTTCTGAACCTCTCTGGACCTGTTTCCTTACATGTAAAAGAGGGGTACATTTAGTACCTATCAAATAGGGTTATTGTGAGGACTTAATGAATTTTCTCAGTAGAGAAAAAAAAGTAGAGAACAGTTGCTAACACAATCAGAGCTTAAAGTTTTCCAGGATAAATTTTTTTCTAAAAGCTAAAGAAGATAACCTTATTTATAAAATTGTTCAGTGTCATTAGAGATTTTGCCTTATCCTATATAATAAAAGCCTAATATGCTAAGTGTCTGGTCTTCTGTTCAACCAATCTAAGTGTAATATGCTAATGATATGCTAAGCCTCTCAACCACTGCTATGGGGTCCAGCCAATAGTGGCTCAGAGAGATGGGCCAGACATGCCCTGGAGCCCTCCTGTGTTCCCTCCCCGGCTGGCCAACCTCCCATGTCCCTCTCCAGCCCTGATCATACATTGGTGGGGTCCCTTGGCCTGGCCTGCACCCTCTTGCAATCCAGGACCCCTCGGGGGATGTCAGATAGCCAGTTTCGGCCAGATCCCTCAGGCCAGGCCAAGGGACTCCACTGGGGCACAAATTCGTGCACTGGGCCTTTAGTGTGTTATAATAGAATATCTTTCAGTGGCATACAGCAATACATGACCATCCTTCTCAAGCTAAATATATATTTTATGCTTATCGTATGACTAACTTCCTTGAAAACTCTTCTGACAAATGTGGCAATGTCAACCCTCATTAATTTTGCAGTAGATTAGCTTTTGGTTGAACTTTCTGGGCAGTGTTCTTGAAATTTGGTTTTCTGAGTAGTCACATGAAATTTGGTTTTCTGCCATAAGAAATCTAAAAAGCACTCAACAAAACACTGTTTCCCCAGTAAGCCAGAAATCATTACTTTTCCACAAATAGAAGGAAAATTCCAACATACTCAGTGAATCCTCCCCCATTAGTGTTCCTGATCAAAACACACTGTCCCTAGGTATCTATCACGTGACAGTACGAAAATAGGGTCAGCTCCACTCTGCCTGCCTACCTCACAAAGCAGGAAGACTGGAAGACTTTGATATTTTTTATATACTGCTAATTTGTTGGAAGGAAAGGGCCAATTGCACTCCCTGCTTCTGCCACTCAGAGAGCCCACCACCATGTATATTTTAAAATAATGCTTCTTGCCCTAACCGATTTGGCTCAGTGGATGAAGTGTCAGATGGTGGACCAAGAGGTCCCAGGTTCAATTCCGGTCAAGGGTATGTACCTTGGTTGCAGGCACATCCCCAGTAGGGGGTGTACAGGAGGCAACTGGTCGATGTTTCTCTCTCATCGATATTTCTAACTCTCTATCCCTCTCCCTTCCTCTCTGTAAAATATCAATAAAAATACATTAAAAAATGAAATGCTTTTTGATATCAGTTTTTAAAATATTACAATTAGCCATTTATAGGACAAAACAAAGTAGTCATTACTTACTCCATTTTCCTTAGCCAACTCAGAGACCTTTGCTGTCTCTGAGTTGGCTAAGTGACCAAGGTCACGCTTCCCAGCACTCTGATCTGCAGAAAGGAAGCATGACCCTAAGAACTGGGTGATTGTGCAAGGCAAGGACCATAGAAGTCGTTACTGGGCACCCGAAAGCCCAAGGCCACACTTGGGAAAAGACTAGCAGTCCTGGCAAAAGGAGAATGAATCTATTGTAACTGTCCTCTGACCAGGATTGTGCGGGAGTTGGGGCAGGGTGGCCCTCGCTTCAGAAGACTGTAAATGGGAGTTAGACTCTCAGTATAAAACAGCTGCAAAGTTATCTGTCCAAATGTTTCCTTTGATAGACAAAGACACTGGAGCCCAAGAGGTGTCTGCAGATGGTCATACTGCTCACCAGGGACTAAGCCAGTGGTCCTTTCTCAACATCACATTTACATAATACAGATAGCCTCAGACTTGAGAATCACTCAAAAATACAGCACTGGTTATTCTTTCTTTCCTGAGGAAAACAAATCATGGATCTGCAAATGCATAATTCTTGGCATTGTTTGACACTACACACATTTAGAGAATATATATTGTGATGCCCTGGCCAGTTTGGTTCGCTGGTTATAGCATCAGCCTCGGACCATAGGGTCTCAGGTTTGATTCAGGGTCAAGGGTGAGTACCTTGGTTGCAGGCTTGATCCAAGGCTCCGAGGTCAGGGCGCATGTGGGAGGCAACCAATCAATGTATCTCTCTCACGTTGATGTTTCTCTCCCTCCCGCATCATCCCCCCCCACCTTTTCTCCCCCCCTCCCCTTTAAAAATCAATGAAAAAAATATCCTCGGGTGAGGATTAACAAAAAATAAATTAAGAAATATAGTGACAACACTGTCATTAGAACATGTTTGGCCTTGCATTAGAACAACTTGTAACTGAGAGTGAAAGGTTAAAATCCATCTAGAGATCATCCATGCACCCTCCTAATTTATCATCTTTGCTCTCTTCACACCAAATTCCTCTTCTCTTGTGGCAATATTTTTGTTTCTACCTTTGAACGTGCTTGAAATCTTTCTTTTCTAATACACCAATTCTTCAAATTACCAGGTTTCTTTATGTAATTTTCCTTTTCCATTTCTGATCCCATGGTGTTTTTGCATTTGCTACATTCTAACATTTAATGGACTTTACTCTTTGGATGTGACCATATTTCTCCCAAGCCCAACCGTCCTCAGCAAAGGTGCTTCTCCCATATTTTTACAGGATTAGATGAGATCAAAGCAAAGGAATGGTGAACACAGAATTCCTTAGGTACATATATCTCATTGGAGGCCTACTTTTGATTCGATGGTGAGTTTGTGAGTTCTTATTACGTATTTAAAAATAAGTGAATTAAGTTCCCTATTACTAAATTATTGTAATTCAAAGTTACACGAGGGGGATTAGCCTAGTTGGTATCAATTACTCTACAAAGGTTGCCCTTTGACCTTAAACCATCATATGTCTAACATTGAAATGAGTAACTCCCTGGGGCGTGATCTTTACATTGGGACTCATCATGGGCTGTTAGACATTTATTTCGATTGTTGGGCAGCTGGTTTATTTCTGACTTAGCGGGAAACACTCGTTATCCACAGGAATAACATAACCCCTAGAGCTGGTTACGTGGTGACATGAATCAAGGTTGCTCATTTGGGTCCCTTCATCATCACCGCCAAAGATCACGTATAAACTCGGCGCTGAGGTTTGCAGGAGCATCAGAGGCGATGATGTAATTAGTCCACAGTCTGCCTCCATCTTACCAGGCGTCTGCGGCTTTCCGAGGAATGGCCTGCACGCTAACCGCCCTGCCCCGCTGCGACTCGGGGTCCGGCTCCAGGCTCCGCCGCTGAGAGCCCCCAGCTCCGCTGCAGAAGGCGGCGGCGGCCCGCACCAGCCCACGTCGACGCCGCGCTCCGACGCTGGAGGGCCGTCCCCACCGCCTCCGCCAATGAGCTGAGCGGGCCGCGAGTCCCCGCCCCTTCCCCGGCGACGTCACGGGAACGCCCGGGGAACGCCGGGAGGCGGGGCCGCCTCGTTTCCGCCCCCAGAGGTCTGCTGGCAGTCAGGGCATTGCAGTCGCGCTTTCTTCGCCCAGTCCGGACGCCGCCGCCGCCGCCTCCGTTTGCCCGCAGCACCATGGCTTTCGTCACCAGGCAGTTTGTACGCAGTGTGTCCTCTTCGTCCACAGCCTCAGCCACGGCGAAGAAAATCGTCATCAAGCAGGTGGCGGTCATCGGCGGTGGGCTGATGGGCGCCGGCATTGCCCAGGTGAGCCGCCCCCTGGCAGCGCACCCGCTCGCTTTGCTGCCACCGGAACTGGGAGCGCTGGCGGCCCGCGGCTCGGCGGGGTGATCCGCGGAGAGACCGGGGTGCACGGGGGACCCGGGAATTCTCACCGTGCTCCTCCCCCGTGTAATGGAAACGTCTTACCTCTGGGCCTGTGCGTGGTCATTCCCCAAAGATACAGTGTCTTGGGGCCGAGCCTCAGTTTCCTGATCTCTATAAATTCCAGCCGGGCCCAGGGCCCCAGGGGGGCTGGGTGGAGCGTGCTAGCGAGTGCATTTGGAACTGGGTTCTGCTGAGAGAAGATAGTATTGTACGTGTCCAAGGCTGAGACATAACTTGCTTGGTTGCTTCTTGGCTTACACCTGAATTGCTTCCAGAGACCTGGAACTTTTCTTTTTTTAGAATTATACGGTCTTTGTAAGAGCAGTTTTCTGCTCTCCTAAAAGAATCTCTTTCCAACCACCCGTGTGTTTCCTTTGCTTTCTGGGTTACAAAGAATAGTAATACTCATCGCTTTTGTAGCACTTTGTAAAAAGTTAACCTAGTAAGAGCTTGGGAGGCCCTGTTAGTCCGCCAGAGGCCTTGCAAGGCAACTTTGACCTTTGACCTAGTTCCCTCTGTGCTGAGAACTGCACATTTTAGGGGCTTGGAGAAGGTGGGAGAAAACAAAGGGGCTGAGGGCTCCAGTCTCAATGTCCATCTTCAAGACTGCCATGTTTCAGCCTAACTGTGGCTCAAGGTCAGTTGTGCAATTGATTAGCTGGATACTGTGATATTTGTTGCTTCTCCACCCCTCCACCCCGCAAATTCCTGCTCATATTGGAGAACCTCGATTCCTGTGTCTTAATTGATTATATTCTTATCATTTCAGCCTTTGCACCTTGTATTGCAGAAGTTGAAGCCATTATCCAATTTTCCTTAGAGGAGTATTCAAATGCAGTGGCTACAGTCATGAAAGAGTTTATTTTTCAGTGTCTTTCCAGTCAAGTCCACATTTCCATGCTTGCTCTTTTACAAATCATTGACTATTATTATATATCTTAATTTTCCTCTCCATGCAATCGTTTTGCAACATATTAATTTGATTGCATTGTCTCCTAAAATATGTATTTAATTAACTTTTTATCCTTCTAACTTCTTACAGTTTTCCATTTCTCTCTTCCGAGATAATATGTTTGGACATACATTTCCCTTTTTATTGTGTGGATGCCTTTGCTGCTAGGTTATGGTGTCCCCTTAATCTATGTTCCATCGATGTGAGGAGTAAGTCCCTTTAACCTAAATGTTCCAAATATTATACTATATTATAGGATATTCAAGCTTGAGTACACTTGTATTCCCCTGCTCCACCAAAAACCTCCCACAGCTGTGAGAGTGAGATTTGTTGTGGGAAGGTATAAAATAATGTATTTATTTAAAAACAAGATATTAGGGCTATATATAAAAGCCTGTGACCATTATGACCTGTTGACCTCTCTACAGGTTGACCGGTCTCTATGATGACACATTGACCACCAGGGGGCAGACACTCAATCCAGGAGCTGCCCCAGGTGGTCAGTGCGCTCCCACAGCTAACCTCCTGCAGCCAGCCAACCTCCTGCAGTCCCTCCCCACCGCTGGTTGGCCCTGATTGGCCCCAATGGGGCCTGGGTAACCCAACCCCCCAATTCACCCCTATCGCAGCTAGACCAAGGGACTCCACCTGTGCACAAATTTATGCACCCGTCCTCTAGTACCAATATAGGAAAAAACGGGTCCAGAAACTTTGTTAATGGTGACTGACATCAGTGGAAGTGGATTAGAAACTAAGTAGAAAGCATTGTTTCAGGTTGTTCAGCTCTTAGAATTCTATATCCATTATTGCCCAGAAAGGGGTGTTATCCTGCACAACCATGCCCACAGGTAGCACCTAAAATTATGGATATAGTATTGGAGCTTTCATTTCAGAAAGGGGGGAGGAGGTTGACATTGATGGGAACACAGACTTGAATAGTTGGACCAGGGGAGTGAGTGCCTTTTGAAATTTAAGGGTGGCGTGGGGGTGAGAGCTGTTTATCCACAGGTTGGAAATATTAGGTCTAGTAATAATTAATGTCGTTTTCTAATACTTTTTTCAAATCGAATTTATTTAAACAATATAAAAAAATTTAATCAACAATATAGTTGCCGTTGTTTTCTACTACTTGTGCCCAACGCTCAGGAAGCATTTTAATCCCTCTGTTGTAAAATTCTTGTGATTTTGATGCAAAAAATTCGGTCAATGCATTTTTGAGGCATTCTTCATTATTAAATTTTTTTCCAAGAAGAAAGTTTTGCAAAGAACGAAACAAATGCTAATCGGAAGGGGCAATATCAGGAGAATATGCAGGTTGAGGGAGAACTTCCCATTCCAACTGGCGCAGTTTTTCAGCAGTGATTCTTGCAGTATGCGGTCGTGCGTTATCGTGGTGAAGAATTACGCCCTTCCGATTAATCAGCGCGGGTTCTTTTTCTCTTAAAGCTTGGGCTAACCTTTCCAATTGGGCACTATACACTGCACTTGTAATGGTTTGGTTAGATGGTAAAAGTTCATAATGAAGAATTCCTTTAAAATTCCACCAAACACACAACATCACTTTTTTCGCATGCAAGTCAGGTTTTGGCGTGGGCTGCGGAGCCTCATTTTTGTCCAACCATTGAGGCCGCCTTTTCAAATTAATATACAGCACCGATTTTTCATTTCCGGTAACAATTTGCTCTAAAAACGGCAAACGGTTTTGACGAGAGAGGAGCGAACTGCAAATTGGGACTCTTTGATTACGGTTGTTGACGGTCAACTCATGAGGAACCCATTTTCCAAACTTTTGGACTTTGCCAAGTGCACGCAATTGATTGGAAATTGTTTTTTGTGAACAATTTAAAGTTGTCGCAAGCTCTTGTTGGGTAATTTGAGGATTTTGCACCAAAAGAGCTTGAAGAGCTTCTTGATCAAAATTGGACACACGGCCTCAACCACTCTTGTCATCTAACGAAAAATTTCCCTCGCGAAATTTCTCAAACCAACGCTGGCATTTTCTGGCGCTAACTGCATCTTGACCAAGAGCACTACAGATGTTTTTTGCAGCCTCACTTGCTTTTCTTCCTAATTGGAACTCGTAAAGCATGCAGTGCCGAATATGCTCTTCATCCGCCATCTTCTTAGCCCTAGTTTTGCAACAAAAACCAAACCAAACACAAACTTTTTCAAGCAAAACTTGTTAATTGCACTTCACACGTTCTGTAGATACCACGTGTTTGAAGGTTATGTCAATACAAGTCAATGCCAAGCAAGATTTTAAACGAATGTTTAAAAACGACATTAATTATTACTAGACCCGATACAATGGACTGCCATTCCAAAACTTGAAATAGTGGACAGTCATAGGTAAGTAGTTCCATTCTTACAAAACAAGTTTTACAAGAGCCTCAGTCACTTTAGATGGAAGCTCTAATCCTGTGAAGGGAACCGCACTTTGCTGCAGAACATCTCTGTGCTACTCTCAGCAGTAGGTTGGTTGGTTGGTTTCAGCAGTTTAGCTGATCCATTTTGGACTCCACCTTCAGGTTTGTAGTTCTAAGCAGTATTGCTTCATTCTTCATGCTCCTTGACCTACCGCTTTTGGTAGAGGGTGAGTCTGTTCTGCTGATTAAGTGCCACAAAGAGTAGTTGATGTGTTTGACTGGAGATTGGCTCCAGTTCAGTATAGGGAATTGGATGGCCTATATACTGGCTCTGCCTCACATTGGCTGTCTTAACATGGGAAAGTTACTTCACCTCTGTGCCTACTAATCTCTAAACTAGGACGAATACCAGCACTAGCCTCATAGGAGAATCTAGAGGATTGAGTGAATTAGCACAAGTCAGTGTCTGGCACCTAGTGAGAGCTCACAAAGGCTTAGCTGCCTTTATGATTATTATCTTCATTGCTTGTCCTTTTGTCCTTAACCCCTCATACCATCTCAGATTGTTGCTGCTAAGGTAGGTCTGTAATGTGTAGATGGAGAATATTGGTTGTGAATCTGTTGCATCTCACTTAATCTTTATTTTATTTTATTTTTTATTAAATTATCTGTGTACATATACCCTTGCCCCCTCAACCCCTATACATGCCCTCCCTCCCCAGAGTTTTGAATCTCATTTAATCTTGACTGGCAAATACCAGTTGTCCAGGGGCCTCTGAAAAGAGTGAAGGCACTTTTTGTCCTCCCTGTTGTATTGCTCATCCTCATACAGCTTTTTTTCTTTTTAATTCTCACCTGAGGACATGCTTAGGGAGAAGGCGAGGGAGAGGGCGAGGGCAAGGGTTGAAAGGAGAAAGAGAGAGAGAGAGAGAGAGAGAGAGAGAGAGAGAGAGAGAGAGAGAGACAGAGACACACCCCAATGTGTGAGAGAAAAACATTGATCAGTTGCCTTACATATGTGCCCCGACCTCCAACCGGCAACCTTTGGGTGCATGGGATGACACTGAATGATTCTCTTTCATCATTGATCTTTCTATCTCTCCTCTCCCTTCCTCTCTAAAATTAACAAAACAAACAAACAAAACCCCCACAAGTACAAACTAGCATTTAAGGTAAGCTATTAAGTCACATCTAGCTTCACTCTCCTGAACTCTTTCTGAAGTAGCTTTAATTTTAAGGTGTAGTTCTGTTTATAATCTTTTTTGTTTCCTTTTTATTGAATTTATTGGGGTGACACTGGTTAACAAAATAATACAAGTTTTAGGTGCACAATTCTGTAACAGATCATCTGTACACTGTATTGTGTGCTCACCACCCCAAGTCAAGTCTCCATCACCTTTTATCCCTTCTATAATCTCCACCTCCCCTGTCCCCTTTCCTTCCAGACACTGTTGTCTGTGTCCATAATATTTTTTTATTTATCATTTTTGCTGTATTCCAGTTTATGCTGAGTAGCATGGAAAAAATTAAACAGATTTTGTGGGAGCCTGACACATTTCTTG